GGAGCGGCTGCTTACCTACAACGCCTTGTACAAGAAGGGCCCCGACGGCTATAACCCCCAGTTCATCACCAAGCTGCTGCGCAACTACAGGTACCGCACCCTCCCTCCTCCCGCGATCCCACGCCTTCACGCCCTCTGCAGCCCCGCTGGAGGCTCCGTCCGCAGGCCTGTTGCTCAGAGGCTGTGTGGCAGAGAGGCTGTAAGCCAGGTCGCGGTCTCTCTGGGCCCGGCCGTGCTACTCCGTGGCTGTGTAGCCATACAAGCAGCTTTGCTCTGGAACAGTTTGCTTACCTGCACATTAAGGGATGGTCAGTGGTTCCCAGACACTCGGATGTATCTGGTGCGGGTCCCAGATGAAGTTTCCAGGCAATGCAAGGAGAAATTAGAAAAATAGGAACCATGTAGTTTTTTATTAACCTCGTTGGTATTTAGATTAAAGAGCCACCCTTCCTTTCACCAATAAGTTCATACATCTGAAATGCTCAGACGAGCTCCCAAGTCCTTAGTGCCTTAGAGGAGCCCACTAAGAATTAAATAAACGTTAGCTATTGTGTATTGGTTTTCTTTTAAAAAAATATATTTTATTGAGTTTTTACAGAGAGGAAGGAAGAGGGATAGAGAGTTAGAAACATCGATGAGAGAGAAACATCGATCAGCTGCCTCCTGCACACCCCCCACTGGGGATGTACCCGCAACCAGGGTACATGCCCTTGACCGGAATCGAACCTGGGACTCTTCTAACCACAGGCGGACGCTCTATCCACTGAGCCAAACCAGTTAGGGCTATTGTGTATCTCTTATGTTTGGGGATTTAACACATTATCTCATCAGAGACCGGTGATAGTAGATGATACTTGTGTGTGTGTTGTCCTTCCTCCTCAAAATTGAAACCTGAGAATGGGTTTCTGATATCTTGTTTTCTTCTTTTAAATTTGGCTGGTCTTTGAAACCCCTGGACCGAATCCTCTCTGGAACCACATGTGGTTCTATTTTCTGTGGTTGACGGTCCGAGCAGCAGACGTTTTAGGTGAAGGAGCCTGCCATCCAGTGGACAGAAGGCAGGAGGATAATGTGTGAGAGCCCAGAGCAGGTAGAGCGGGCGAGGCGGAAGTAATCCGTTCCCGGTCTTGCTCTCCCTCCGGCCTCCGGCCTTCCAGGTCTCACCCCACCATCCTGGACATTCCTAACCAACTCTATTATGAGCGGGAGCTACAACCCTGTGCCAACCTTGTGGACCGGGAACGCTTCTGCCAGTGGGAGGGCCTGCCTCGCAAGGTGAGGGGCTCCCGCCCCGTTCCCTCCTGTTGAAGGTGCAGGGGAGGAAGTGGCTCTGAGTGGAAGCCAAGGGTCTGTCCCTTCGAACCCTTGGCCTGGGGGCCTGGGAGCCCACAGTGCCTGGAAGGGTTTGGGGTGAGAGGGAAGGGAAGGGGGGCAGGGAGGCCCGGCTAAGGGTTTCCCCTGACTGTGTCCAGGGCTTTCCCATCATCTTTCACGGTGTGATGGGCAAGGATGAGCGTGAGGGCAACAGCCCCTCCTTCTTCAACCCCGAAGAGGCTGCCACGGTGACTTCGTACCTGAAGCAGCTGCTGATCTCCTCCTCCAAGAAGGGCAAAGGCCGCCTGAGCCCCCGAAATGTGGGCGTCATCTCTCCATACCGGAAGCAGGTTAGGCCCTCAATTCCCATTGAGGGTGACACACACACACACACACACACACACACACACACACACACACCCTGGTACCTCATTCCTAGGCAGACCACTAGGTGGAGGTTCCGGAGCTCAGGCCTCTGCTCGCCCCGTATCTGGGAAGCTCAGAGGTCAGCGGCCCCTCCCTGTGTGCCTTCCAGCTGCCCCTCCCTGTGTGCCTCCCAGCTCCCTGGCCTCCTGCCTGACTCCCTCTTGCACTGGGGTGATGGGGTGAGAGAAAGGCCCTTGTCCCCATCTTCCAGGTGGAAAAAATCCGTAATTGCATCACCAGGCTGGACAAGCAGCTCCGGGGACTGGATGACATCAAGGACTTGAAGGTGATACTGACCACTGTTCCACATTTGCTCTCTGTCTGCCTTCTGTACCCCTCTCCTCCCCGGTCCCAAAGAGCCTCGGGCTCCTGCCCTGCCGCTCCAGGCTGCCCCTGCCTGTCCCACCCTGACTAGGATTCTCCCCAAGCGCTCACTTCTGAATATCCGCTCGGGGTGCGACCAGGATGCCTGCATGTTTCGCAAACAGCCCACACCATTTTTATGATTAGGCTGGCTGGAGGCCTCTGCTCGAAGAATAAAGTCCAGATTCCCCGGCCTGCCTGACCCGTCATGTGACTGTCCCGCTGCCCTCTCCTCCCTCTGGGACAGTAGCTTCACCCTCTCTCAGGCCACGTTTCTCAACACTGGCTGCAGATAAGAATCACCTGGAGAGCTTTGGCACTGCCTGTGCCAGCGCCCCACCCAGCCAATTAGCACAGCGATCTGGGGGCAGAGCCAGGGCATCGGGATGGCTTCCAGCTCCTCAGGTGATCTTGTATGCAGCCAGGGTTGGAACCAGCGCTTTAAGATTTGGAGTCCTTGCCCTGGCCAGTGTGGCTCGGTTGGTTGGGCATCATCCCAGGAGGTCATCAGTTCCATTCTTGGTCAGGGCACAAGCCTGGGTTGCTGGCTCTATCCCCAGTAGGAAGTATGCAGGAGGCAGCCCATCCAGGTTTCTATCTTCTCTCCCTCTTCCTTCTTCTCTCCCTCAAATCAATAAAAAACATATTTCAAAAAGTATTTAGAGGCCTCTCTCTTAGAACTTCTGATTCAGGAGGTCTGGGTTGTATTTTTTTTTAATATATTTTATTGATTTTTTTACAGAGAGGAAGGGAGAGGGATAGAGAGTTAGAAACATCAATGAGAGAGAAACATCTATCAGCTGCCTCCTGCACACACACCCCCCCCCCCCACACACACACACCCCTTGGGGATATGCCCGCAACCAAGGCACATGACCTTGACTGGAATCGAACCCGGGACCCTTTGGTCCACAGGCCAACGCTCTAGCCACTGAGCCAAACCAGTCAGGGCATGGGTTGTATTTTTTTAACAAGTACTTAGTGATTATCTTCAGGAAAGTTTGAAAAACACTTCTGAGTTACCATGTTTTCTTTTTCTTTGTTTTAATCCTCATCCAAGGATCTTTCTTCCCATTGATTTTTAGAGCGAGTGGAAGGGGGCGGGGAGAGAAACATCGATGTGAGAGAGACACATCGATTGGTTGTCTCCTACATGCACCCCGAGTGGGGCCAGGGGTCGAACCTGCAGTCCTCTGGTGTGAGGACCAACGCTCTAACCACGGAGCCACACGGACCAGGGCCCAAGTTTTCTGTACTTAGAACTCTCTCCAGCCCCCATCCCTGTGACGAGCAGCTTCCAGGGCATCCGGTCCTTCCTCCTGCCCCGTTAGAGCACTCGCTCTCTCCCCTGTGACAGCTGCTGCGTGACTTCTCCACACCTGCCCTGGAGCTCCAGCTCCATGAGGCAGGGCTGGGCCTCTGTGGCCCTGGTCTCAGGCCGCCCTTCCCTCTAGGTGGGCTCCGTGGAGGAGTTCCAAGGCCAAGAGCGCAGCGTCATCATCATCTCCACGGTGCGGAGCAGCCAGAGCTTTGTGCAGCTGGATCTGGACTTTAACCTGGGTTTCCTCAAGAACCCCAAGGTCTGAGGGCCGGCGGGGGGGCCGGAATTCTTCCTTCTTCAGGGCCCTTGCCTCCGGTGACGCCAACACTTCTCCCTTCCAGAGGTTCAACGTGGCTGTGACCCGGGCCAAGGCTCTGCTCATCGTGGTGGGCAACCCGCTGCTCCTGGGCCATGACTCCGACTGGAAGGCGTGAGCATCCCCAAGCCCCCCACCCCATAGCGCAGCTGTCTCTTTACAACTACCTCCTTGTGGCTCCGTTCATCGCAGACCTGTCCACCTCGCAGCACCCCCATTTCAGTTACCTGCCACTCGGAGGTTAAGCATCTTGTCCAAAGGCCCCGGCTGGTGCCCCGCAGCCAGGCACGCTTGTGTGAGTGTCCCTGTCCTCCCCGTCCCCCCCCCAGATTCCTGGACTTCTGTAGAGACCATGGAGGCTATACCGGGTGCCCCTTCCCTGACCAAGTGGACCCGCAGCACGAACAGGACTTACTCAAAGGTCTGAGCAAGCTCAGCATCTCTACCTCAGGTATGGCTGGGCCGGGGCAGGCCGGGTCCTGGCTAGTGCTGGTTGGGGTGGAGGTAAGGAAGACAGCTCGCCTCCTTTCTCTCCAGGGCCCGAAAGTCACGACTACCTCTCCCAGGATCTGGAGGGTGAAGCCGACCTGCCCCTGCAAGTGGAGCCCGAGTGGAGAAACGAGCACTGAAGAGATGCAGCCGGCCTTCAGCCTTTGCATACCAACTAGGCCTTAACCGCCCCTCACCCTGCCCCTCACCCAAACCCAGCCGAACTGCCCCTCCAAGGGACAGGAAGGCTGGGGGAGGGAGTTTACAACCCAAGCCCTTCCCCCCCGCTCCCCGGCAGGGAAGAAAGATACAAGCTGCTAACAATGTGGGGTAAGGGGGGGGAAGAAAAACTGAAAATTAAATTTTGTTCTATGCAAACGCATCCATGTCTTCTTGGCCTGGTCCCTGCTTCCAAAAGCCCCAAGCTGACCCCACAGAAGAGGGGACACTACCCAAGGCCATACCACCTCCCCCTAGAGACCAACCCAGCCCCCACGACCAGGGGAGGAAACCCAGGGGGAGGTGGCAGGGAAGCCACCCACAGCTTCTAAGTTTAGCCTCCGCTCCAGACCACTCCCCTCACCCGCCCCCAAGGCCCAGAGCCAGGCATGACCTCATCCTTTGCTCCTAGACTCCACCCTGCCTGCCAGAGTCCTGCCTTTGCAAACAGGGGCCGGCCTGGTTAGCAACTAGAAAAAGAGGAGGAGAGACGGGACTACAGGCTCAAGGCCAACACAGAGACCAGAAGAGAAAGACAGGAAGCTGCTCATATACATGTTGAAGCCTGTGGCCCTTTTATTCATGCCCCCCAGCAGGTATAGCCAGAAAAGGGCCCCTGCCCAAAGCAGAAATACCAGGGCCCAGGACTCTGGGTTACATCCTCCAAACCCCCTTCCCCAGACATGTGAGCCAGGAGTGTATAAAGTGCTGGTGTGATGATCCCCCGGGGAAGGCCAAAGGGACCCAGGGCCCCACCCTACACCCGGGCAGCCGAACTCTGCTCCAGGAGGGCGGGGCACAGCCCTTGGCTCCCAGAGTGCCTGGAGGGAGGCGGGGGCCGCCACTGCCACTGCCACTGCCACTGCCACCACCACTGGGGCTGGGGCCTTGGGAGACCCGATGCAGTCCTGGGCTGGAGGGAACTGGAAAAGGGAGCCTTCAGCACGGAGCCCTAAGAGGATGGGGCTTGGGGGTGTTCCTGCGCCCCTGTGAAGGGACTCGAGGTGGGGATGGAGGAGAGGCCTGTGTGTGGGGGGGAGGGGGGGGGTCTCAGAGAATGGGGCAGCCCCTCCGGCGCTTATTCTTGCGGACCTGGAGGCCAGCCCGAGTGGCCATCTCGAACACCTCCCGCACCCCCTCCTTGGTCTTGGCTGAGCACTCGAGGTAGCCAAAGGCACTGATCCTGTTCGCCATGTCCCGGCCTTCCTCAGATCGCACAGGCTCCTGGAGGATGGAAGGTGAGAAGTCAAGGGAAGCTGGTGGCCAGGTGCATCTCACTGCACACCCTTAAGTACAGTAACTAGAAGAAACATCTCCAGCCCTAACCCGCACAGCACCTAAGCCTGGGCACCCTGCCGCCGCAGGACCAGCGACCCAAGACTCACGTTTATGTTAAAATCCTCTCCATCGCCCTAGACCAGTGGTCGGCAAACTGCGGCCCCTTGAGTGTGGCTCTTCCACAAAATACCACGTGCGGGCACGCACGTACAGTGCGATTGAAACTTTGTGGCCACACTCAAGGGGCCAAAGAGCCGCATGTGGCTCGCGAGCCGCAGTTTGCCGACCACTGGCCTAGACCCACGCTGCAGCCTTCTGTTACCTGAATAGGCATCTAGCCCCTCCAAACGGACCTCCCTGCCTCCATGCTCACTTTCTTACAACCTTCGCCGTGTGGCTGCCAGAGTAACGTTCTGAACACAGACCTGATCACACCTGTCCCGTTTGAAACCTCAGGGTAGTCCAGCGGTTCTCAACCTGTGGGGGTCGAACGACCCTTTCACAGGGGTCGCCTAAGACCATCGGAAAACACATATATAATTACAGATGGTTTTTGTGATGAATCGCTATGCTTTAATTATGTTCAATTTGTAAGAATGAAATTGGGAGTCACCACAACATGAGGAACTGTATTAAAGGGTCGCGGCATTAGGAAGGTTGAGAACCACTGGGGTAGTCCATGCTCCTTATTCTGGGGTAAATAAATGAATCCTGGCTAGCGATCCACTTACCAGGTCCCCTGATGAGCCAGCTCCCTCCTCTGGGCCTTTCTTTCAGCCACTTATAATGGATTTTCTTATTCATCTTAACAGCCCCAACCACAGACGAATAAACCAAAATGCCAAGTGGCCTTGGACAAGTCACTTCATTCTCCGATGGCTACCCCTCTGGTTCTCCCTCACCAGGGTGGGAGGCGGGTGCCACCACCCCTCTAACAGGGCAGTCCCCTGGAAAGAAGGCTCCCTTCGGCCCCAGCCTGGCCGCCCACCCACCTGCTTCATCTTGGCCAGCTCCCTCCGGGTGTGCTCGTCTTGCCGTAGGTCCTTCTTGTTGCCCACGAGGATGATGGGCACGTTGGGGCAGAAATGCTTCACCTCCGGAGTCCACTTCTCAGGAATGTTTTCTGCACAGACAAGACCCAACAGGTGCCGGTGCCTCCACTTAGACGAGAAAGCCCCCCTCCCTGAAGCCCCCGGTCTCCCCACAGCAGAGTCTTAGAGGGTGTTCAGCATGACAGTCCCTTTTACAGCTCAAAACCTCTCCCCTGAGCCCTCCTAAGGGCCAGAGTTCCCACGGTGAAGGAAGCCAACAGCCCCCTGCACCTCTCCCCACAGCCTCCGCCGCCTAGGATGGCGGAAATCAGCCAAGGCAAGAGCGACCTCGGGTTGGTCGGTTCCGAAGGGTTCTGGCCCCCCCTCCAGGCCCTCACCCAGGCTGTCCGGGCTGTCGATGGAGAAGCACATGAGGATGACATCAGTGTCTGGGTAGGAGAGCGGCCGGAGGCGATCATAGTCTTCCTGCCCAGCTGTGTCCCAGAGGGCCAGCTCCACCTGACACACAGGGCCGGTGAGTAGCCAGCCCGAGGGCCCTAGCCACGCCCCCACCCTGCCACCGAGGGGTCCTCGCGGAAGCCACCGGTCCTGGAGGCTCCATGAACATCCACTGAGCACCTGCTCCGTGCCAGGAACAGTGCCGATCCCTGTCACCCACCACCAATTAGGTGAGTTTTTAAAAAATCCTGAGACATCAGCGCTTCATCTTTGTGCTGCTTATGAATTGCCACTGTGAGGGTCAGTTTTACTGAATCCTCACAACCACCCTTTGAAGGAAGCCTTATCATTCCCCCCGTTTTGCAGTTGGGGGAGCATGAAGCTCAGAGGCGAAGGGTCCCTGTGTAGAGAACCGGGAGGTGCGTCTAGATTTCCTGGCTGCACTTGCACTTCCTGACTGTCATTGGCGCCAGCAGGGAGAGTGCAGCTCGGCCCTGGTGGTGAAGAAGGACATGCTGGGTGCAGTGTTGGGCGGGGTCCCCGGTGCCGTGGGAAGGGGCTCTCCTTCACCTGCTTGCCGTCCACCTCGATGTCTGCGATGTAGTTCTCGAAGACGGTGGGGACGTAGACCTCTGGGAACTGGTCCTTGCTGAAGACGATGAGGAGGCAGGTCTTCCCGCAGGCCCCATCGCCCACAATCACCAGCTTCTTTCGGATCGCAGCCATGGCTGGGGCTGGCAGGGGAGAGGGGAGAGGCCTCATAAGTCCAAAAGCATTTCTCTGGGCCCCCCAAGACCTCCCGGAAGCTGAAACATCCAGCAAAAGGAGGGCAAGGGGCTTGCGCAGGCATGTTCTTGCTAAAAACCAACTGCTCGGGCAACTGGGCTCAAAATTCCTTATCTCGAAGTAGGGGACAGGTCTCCCCTCATGGGTCAGAACACAGAAGTGGGAGGTGGAAAACCCAGCCACGTGGGAGCCAGACAACATGAGTTCTGACCGGATCCACTCACCCACTGGGGTCCTGAACACCTAGAGGGGGTGCTCAGGGACATTGCCAAAGAGCCAGACTTCACTTGTTACCGGGACGCTGATACCATCTAGAACACACTGTCCCTGACCCAGCACAAGTCATGCCCACCCGGTCACAGATCGAGCAGTTCCTCTCCAAGGCCACGGGCGACCAGGTGGTAGGTGGGTAAGGGAAACTGGGGGGGCATTTTGACAAAAGTCACCTCCCTCGGTCCCCAGAAGCCTAGGAGGGAAATGGAGAGCTTGCTATTTCGACAAATTAGGAAAGTGAGGCTCAAACACGCATTCAGCGGTCACGACAGGGATGGCACTCTAAGCAGGGCTGTGTGACTCCATCGAGTCTACGTATCATCCCCGAGGTGGGAAGGAGCAGAGGGAGGGAAACCCAGACGGAGGGCAGTGGCAGCAGCCAGCAGGCTTCCCTGGCCCACCCCAGCCCGGTTCCCAAAGCCCGTCACACAAAGGCGGCTCAGTCCCCACGGTGCCCACAGCCCACACTCGGGCAGCCTGCCGTCCTCCCCCCTCCCTCCTGGGCCTGGCAGCCACACTGGGTCACTCAGCCTCAGGCAGGGGACAATGACCACACTGTAGGGAGCCACACATCCACCGCAGCAGAGCGGCTGAGAATAATCCACCAGGGAGTCACCTCCACCCACTCCGCGGAACAGCCCCTTCCTCCCCTCTGTCCAGCCAGTTCACCCAAGGCCCTGCCCACCCCTCCCTGTGACTCAGGGCGAGGAGTCAGCTTCCTGGGGTTTCCATGCTCCCCCCCCCCCCCCCACGCCCCAGCACACACCAGTGAGCATCTGCACAGTTCATCACACCTTCCCAGCTTCCCTGCCCCTGAGCTGAGCCTCACTTCCTGCCCCCCAGGGGAGAGGAGCTGACCTCCAGCGGGCTGAACTTCCCAGGCGGCAGGCCTAGAGGAAGAGAGAGTCCGGACTGTTGGGGCTGCTGCTGGGAGGAGCTCCCCCAAACGGAGACAAATGAGGGCCAGTCCCAGCAGCAAACAGGCAGGGAGTCGTCAAGAAAGAAGGAGATGGTAACCTGATCTCTGCCCAAAACCTAGCTTTTTCTCTTTGTCCCACATCCTGTCAAACTGGGCTGAACTCCTTTTCTCCCCACACACCACCACCTCACAGCCCTGCCTTGGTCTGCCTCGTAGGAAGCGAATATTCCAGCCCAAAGTTATTCCAGCCCAAGGCTTATCTCGGACAGCGGGGTCCTGGTGGCCTCCCTCCCCTACACACACAAGCTGGGATGAGGGAAGCAGATATGAGTCAGAGAGCATTTATAGTTGAGTACACAGCCACACTCTCCCCGCCTGGAAGGGGGCTCTCCCTGACACCCCAAAAGCAGGCAAGAGGGCCTTCCCCATGCCAGCAGATCTCCTCCAAAAATGGAAACCATCCTTCAAAAAGGTGACCAGCTCCCAGGTGACCAACTCCCCCCGGCCCCCTGCCCCGAGCTCCCTCGGTCTGCTGTGTGGGAACAGGCTGGGGTAGTAGCCCGGACACGGAAGGAGGGCGATCACCAGTGGTCAGGCTTCGGCGTGCCAGTGCCCTCCCCCAGCAGGGCAGTTTGGGTGGCACGGGCGGTGGGGCCAGGGCATACGTTAAGTGGCCTGGAGCCTTTCCCTCGAAGCTCCGGCTGGCCCAGGTCAGGACTCTAAGGACTAAGGCCAAGAGGGCAAGGACAACAGCTCCCCAAGAGAAGCAGCCCCCGAGAAACTGCCGCACAGACCCTAGGAGGGGCCACGGAACCGCCAGGAATGGAGCCTGGAACTCCTGGGGCCTCCCCTGAGACAAGGCAGACCCCCACCCCGTCCTCATTCTCTCCGTTTCCAGATGACCCGGCCCGCCGTCCCCGCCGGCCACCCTGAGGTCCAGGGCAGGAATCCGATAGCTCCTCCTCAACTTTAAAACCAGAGCTCGGCCTCGGGTCTCCCAGCCCAGACCAAGTTGGGAAGCGGGAGGGGGAGGGAGAGGGTTGGAAGAAAGGAGATCCTTACACACTCACACACACACACACACACACTCACACGCGCACACGCACAAAGGAGCTGGATCCCTCCTGCTCCCCCAGCCTCCCGCCCGGCGGCTCCAGGAACCGTCTAGGGCGGTGTCCAGACCCCGCAGAGCAGTGGCAGCCCCCGCAGATCACACCCCGCCCCTCTTCCCGCCATGGCCCGGCCCCGCCTGGGGAAAATCCCACTTCCACCGGCCTCGGCCCGGACCCGCACCCCACCCCACGCAGGTCCTCCCCGGCCGCCGGGTCTGAGCTGGGCCTCCCTCGCGGAGACCCAAGTTGACCGCTCGCCCGGTGGGGCAGGTTCCGAGAAGCCGGGACGGGAAGGGAAAGGACTCGGGCTCGGACCCCAGGAGGGAGGGGCCCGGCGGGGCAGGTCCCGGGGCCCTGGCTGCACCCGGGGAGGGCCGAGCCGGCCGGACCCCCGCACACCCAGACGCCGCGTCCTCCGGGCGGGAAGGCGGCGGGCGCTCGGGCCCAGGCCCCCTCCCCAGCCGGCGCCCCGAGCTCCGGCCCAGCGGATGGGGGTGCGGTGCTCTCCCCGGACGCCCGCACCCCCGGCCCCCGGCCCCCGGTACCTTCCGCTCGGCCGCCTTCTGCTGCGCGGCCGGTGCCGGAGGCAGAGACTGACCCGCTGGCCCCGCCCCGCCCTCCTCTGCGCCGCGTCGGGGAGGGGCGGGCCGGCCGGGGAGGAGCGGGTCCGGGCTCCGCCTGTCCCGGGCCGGGCCGGGGGCCACCGTGGCCCGGGGCGGAGGCGATGCCGGGGCCGGGAGCAGTGGGCGGCGGGCGGGGCGGCCCCTCTCCCGGGGGCCCTCGGCTCCGCTCCCAGCCCAGCCCCCAGGGGCGGCCCGGCGTCGGGGAAGTTGCGAGGCGCTCGGGGTGGGGTCGGGAGACGGCCGCTGCTGCCCTCCCGTGGCCGCCCAGCCACCCGCGCCCGCACCACCTGGGACCCCGCGGAGGCGGGACTCGGGGGGCGGCCTCCTGGAGTAGGGCATGCGGAGAGGCCCCCCCCCTCTGCTCCTAGGCGCTTGGCGGAGTCTGTACAGCTCAGGGTCCCCCCACCCCACCCCCAGCCTTGAGAACTTTGCAGAATCTTTGTGACCCGGGCCACCGGTCCTCTTCACGAGTTCCGTCCTTCCCCCTCGCCTGGACTTTGCATGAGTCCAATTTCGACCTCCGCACCCACCAAAGGCGCTCCAGGAAACCCGGCTCCCCCGCTGGGAGTTCAGATCCCACCCGGAGAGTATGATCTCTGTGCCGCCAGGGACACAGGAAAGCTTTGGGTATTTATTTACTGCACAGTGTGTGTCCTACCCTGTCAGGTGGCTGAGGAGGCGGATGGAGGGTGAGGGCATTTCATTAGCTTGTGCTGGGTACACTCCATAGCTCCGCCCTCCTACTACGCACCTTATAGATCTTCGGGTTAAGTACACACACGCCCTTTTGCCTGTAAGAAACCCAGGCTCCGAGAAGCCGAGCGGCTTGCCTCGGTTTTTGCTATTTCTGTGTGATTCAGCAAGAATTCAGACATTGGGTCTGTTCGGCTCCAAATCAGGTGCTTTCTCCATGCTGGCCCCATGCTCCTCCAACCTGTCCCTTCCCACCCTGTGGGGCACCATAGGTTTCACCAGATACTGGCTGAGAGAATGAATGAATGTTAGAAGCCACAGAGACTTTTAAGATCTGAAGTGCACCCCACACTTAATAAATAAAGAAGCCGAGGTCCGAGCACTTTGGTCCACAGGCCTTGAGTGTGGCCTTAGAGATATGTGCTCAGTTTAGATCAATCGCTGCCTTCAGAGAACTTACAGGCTAGCCCGGCCTGCACGGCTTAGTGGTTGAACGTGGACCTGTGAACCAGGAGATCATGGTTTGATTCCCGGTTAGGGCACATGCCTGGGTTGCAGGCTCCATCCCTGATATAGGGCATGCAGGGGGCAGCCAATCAATAATGCTCTCTCATCATTGATGTTTCTAGCTCTCTCTCTCTCTCCTTCTCCATTCCTCTCTGAAATCAATAAAAATATTTTTTTTTTAAAAAAAGAACTTACAGTCTAAGTTCAGAATACAGACAACTTAAAGATAACTAACAGTTATTGAACCCTTACTGCATGGGCCTGGCTCTATAGACATGAACAGCCTTATGAGGTAGTACTGTTATCTCCATTTTACTGAGAAGCAACTGAGGTTACTGAGCTAGTGCTGGTCTGGCGCCAGAACCGAAACAGCAGGGCCCTAGAACTCTGGCTCTTAGCTGCTGCTTCAGACCAACTCCTAATACGGACAGCAATCCAAGGAGGCAGTCACTGTAGTCGGGCATGCAGGGGCTGTGGGACACCCAGCCCTGAAGGACAGGTGAAGTGTTCAAGGTGATGTGTAGATTTTAAATGGTTAGAGCGACCACAGGCCCATAGTCACGGAAAGGAAACCCCAAGAGGGTGGTGGTGGGGAGAGGTGAGGCTAGAGGAGGAAACAGTGGCCAGATCATGAAGGTCCTTGTATGCCACCACACTCAAGAACTGAGTGTTCTTCTAAATAGCAGGAAGGAGCCACTGAGATGTTCTCTCAAGGGAACCGCCAACTCAGATTCACTCTGCAGAAAGGACACTCTGTCTGTTACGTCCCGGGGATCTTAGGGGAAACAGGAGAGTGGCCTGGAGGCAGAGATAGGAGACGCGTTAGGAAGCTAATGCAGTAAAGAACTAAGGTAGTGACATCAGGGGTAGAAACAAGTGGAGAAATATGAAATGTTTTTAAAATAGATAATCAAAAATAGTGGTTAGCTTGATGAGGAAGAGACGGGAGCCATGGTGACCAATTCCAAGACCAACTTCCAACTGGAGCTGTTGAGATGACGTACCAGAAGGCACGTGTTTGTGGAGAAAGTGGTGAGTTCAGTCTGAGGCATGTTGAGTGGCAGTGCTTGAGGGATGCCTCGATGTTCCCTAGATGACGGAGACATGAGGGTCTAAAGCTCAGGAGAGGTCTGGGCTGGAAATACTGACTTGGATGACACCAGCAGATGGATGAGGCCACAGAAAGGATGAGAGTGCATGGAGTGGGAAGAGCAAAGGGCAGAAGACAGAAACTGGGAACACTACATTTTAGTGTCAGTAGGGGTAGAAATAAGTGGGCAAAGAGGAAATATTTGTACACCAGGACTGTTCTGGTATACTTTCTACCACCCCAAGGAACTTTCTGTTACCTTTCGATCTCTATTCAAAGAAATAAAGACACATATTTATCCATCTGGTTTATTTGCCAGTAACTGTAATTTTGGATCTAATGGACACCCCTTCTTCAGTTAAATTGCCACTAAAGAAGGTCAGGGGGAGGGACAAGTTCAGAATTCGGGTTGGGAGAGGATTAAGCATGGAGAGGCTGGGATGGTGGTGGGACGGTCAGGGGCTGAACCCCTCAGGAGTAACTGCCTGGCCCCCCCAGGGGGATGATGAAGACAGAGATGTCATCCCCGGAACCCAGCTTGTTGTTGGGGAGACGCCAGCCACGGTCCCGGGGGGTGCCCCGGGCCCCTAGGACCAGAGCTTGGGCCAGAGCTGTGTACCTGCCAGGAGCACACGTGCACAGTCATGTACCAACATGTCCATGGGAAGACAGATACACAGGCCCTCATTGCTTCCCTTTGCCCCTTCCTTCCCCACTGTCACCCCTCACTGCCCAGGCAGCCCCTACCTGCTGGGGTCATTGGGTTCATAGGTCGACAGCACCCTGTCCACAGTGGCAGCTACCTCACAGTCACTGGTGACATCCCACAGACCATCCGTCCCCAGCACGAGCACATCGTCGGGGCAGTGCTCATACTGTGTCAGGTCATACACTCGTACCTGGTGGGGAAGAGGGTGGGGAGGGAGCCTGGGGGTAAAGGGAACTGGGGCGAAAGCCAGCCGGAGCCCCAGAAGAGGGAAGGTGAGGTGAAGGAGGCGCCCCTACGACTCACCTCTGGGAAGCAGGAAAGGAAGGGCTTGATGGGCAGGCTGGAACTGCAGACCTTGAGGTTGTGGTCGCCTAAGCCCCGGGTCACCCCAATGGTGGCCATCACTCGAGCCTGAGTAAAAGGAGGCAGGGGTGCTGCCAAAACCGTCTCCCAGACTCTGAAATGGGGCCCCTCCCACCCCTGCCCTCAGAGAGAACCTCCACCGCCCTAGACAACTCGTGGTGGGTTTTCCAGCCCTCTCCCACCTCTACCGTGGAGTTTACCTTTTTGCCCTCCCCACAGACCAGAGGAAACCTGAGATCCTCCAGCTCGATCTTTTTGTAGGCCCTGGGGAGGGGGGAGTAGAGGAGGCATCACCCAGGCATCAAAGCCCCTCTCCCCTAGGAGCCACGCTCCTCACACAAACCCCTAAGAAGGGCCACATCCCCCCAGCTCCCAGCCTGGCCCAGCCTCCAGCTTCCACCATGCTATTGGCCAGGGACTGATTGCGTTGCCATGGGAACTGGCCCAGCTCTGAGGGAAGTGTTACCAGCCGGTCATGTTCTGGTCCCGGTACAGCATCCTCTGGCCCAGCTCCTTGGACTGAACTCTGCGGGGGAACTCGAGGTGGGTGAATTCACCACCCAGCAGCTCTGGTTTCAGGAAGCCCTGGGGTCGGGAGTGGCCAGACAGAGCAGAGGGCCAGAGGTTTTAGGCTTACTGCAAGGCCTGGTGTCTACATGATCTTAATTACGGCAGACCCTTAAGTGGAGTTTACTAGAGCCACACACTGTCTGATATGAGCAGGTATGAACTCATTTACTGCTCACTGCAACCCTTAAGGCAGGAACTACTGATACAAGTCAAGGGGATTGTCCAAAGTCACTCAATTAGCAAAGCACTGGAACCAGGACTCAATCCCAGCTCCAAGGCCAGGACTTAAAGCTCTAAACCATATTGCCTCTCAGGGCCCTCCCCACCCCTGCCTCCACTTCCTTCCTCAGCTGGGGCCACTGTGGGAGCACGGATCAGCCCACGCTCCTTCCTGCTAGTCCTCCACCAGCCACCAGCTCGGCTCTGCACTCCTCTGTAAGGGGCTGTCTGTGTGGTGGGGGAGGGGGAGTCCTCAGGATGTCGGGTACAAACAGGCCCAAGACTCAACAAAGAATGGGAGTCAGGAGCTCAGTTCACACTTACCAGCAGCTGAAGACGCTGGCGCTCCGTTTCCGGGGTGAATTCCCGAGACATTGGAATGATTTCACCATTCCGGACAATGATGGCTCTGCCCAGAGAAAGGAAAGGTTGGGGCTCGGCTCTCTTCGGCCCCCTTGTGGAGAATTCCAGAAAGACCAGGCCTTCCCTATAGTGACCCTTAGGATTTAGCATTCACACCCTTATCTTTCTTCCCCACAGTGGCTCTTTCAGGCCCTTCCTTCTGTCTGTGATCCCTCCTGATCTCCTCCAGTCTTTGATTTTTAACACCCGCCACCTCACTCTCTTCTGTTCCCCCACCCCAAAGAGTGTGGCCCCCATACCTGCTGTCACCTGCATTGGCCACGTACACCTTGCCCAGCAAGTAGACCACAACCAGAGCACAGCAGCCCCCCTCCACATGGTGGCCATGCCGCTCCTGGGCCAACTGCTCATCCTGTCATGTGAGGAAGAGTCAAAGGGGGAGGATGAAGAAGAGCTTCCAGGCATGCAGCCACCCCCTCCATCCAAAGGAAACCAGCCCAGCCAAGCTGCCCTGGAGGAGAGGAGGGAAGACATGGGTGTAATGCCCCCTCCTCCTTCCCCTCTGACCCAAGGATCAGGCTTGCAAAGGTACTGTAGGTTCTCAGGGTCACCCCCCTCAGGCCACCTGACTCCCACACAGAATTGACCAGAGTATCTATCTGCCTAGCAGACCCTTGGCCCTGGCCACCCACTCACCATGAGCTGGAAGGCATTCTCAATGGCCCCCACTACCAGGCTCTCGTGGGTCACTTCCTTCTGTGAAGGCCAGCAGGACTGAGGACCCACCAAGTGAGAGGGATCCGAGGAACCCGGGGTCCCCGGGGTGGATGAGAGGCAGAGGGGAGGTGGCGAGGGGTCCTGGAGTATCTCCACGAGGTCCTTTAGCTGCTCCCGAATGTGGCGATGCAGGAGCCTGGAGGCCATTTCAGCAGCTCCGCCCCCTGCATGCCCATCAAACAGACCCCAGTAGTAGAAGCAGAGTCCCTGCTGGAGGAAAAGTAGAGATGAGTGATGGGTGGGTGTGTTTTATGCAGGGAGATGAGCAAGCCCCTGCTCTGGGCATCCACGCACACATTAGAGAGGAGGTCGGAGCTTGGTAATAAAGGAAAATTAGATTTACTCACCCATTGACCAAGGGCCTAGATTGTATCAGAAAGTCAAGCATCAAAAAAGCCAAACTCAGAGGATGCTCACGTATTTATGGATGTGTTAATTAATTACCAATGCAAAAATAAGCATTGGTGATTAATTAAATCACCCATAAGTGCGCCTGCATCTACATTTTAAGTGGAAAACTACATTCATACTGACGTGGTAGAATCTATGCCAGATAAAGACTCTGGGCCAGAAGACAGAAAGCTAGGGAGGTAAGAGGTAGGTCTTGGCATGTTTCCGGTTTAAAAGCAGATGCCTAGAATCTCTGGGCAGAGGTGTCACCCTGTCTCCCTCCAGAGGCTAGGAAGTGGAGGGGTGGGGGGGTTGGGGGCTTACCTGGCTTGGGCTAGGCTCCCTAGGTGCCCCTGACACACTCCTCCGACCTTCCACATACACCACCTCACAGCAAGCCTGGTCCTCATTGTGCCGGCTCTTGCCAGCGTTGATGACCCTGCCAGGCCAGAGTGACCACATCAGGCTGGACAACAGACTGGGTCCTGGAATAACCCCCACCTTAGACATACACACTCTCTCTGGCCTGCTGGCCAAGCTGAGAAAGGTCAAGGCCACCTGGGATCCAGGCCAGAGTGAGGAGGAGAAGGGAGGCAGGGCGAGGCACAGGGAATTCTGTCTGGGTGTCGGGCCCCACCACCTCACAGAAAGGCCAGCAGCAGCACCTGTCTGCCTCAGGTCCCCATCCCTGGCTAAGTGGGCATTCCTAAGGGTGCTGGGGGGTGGGAGGCGCCTGTTGGGAGCATGAGGTTTTACTTCCCTGCCTGTCAAGACCCTACCTCCCACCTGAAACCCAATCAATTCTGCTAGTGCCTGGTCCACAGCAGCCCACCCTCATGGGCACACCCTCCCGTATCCTAAAACCACCAGTGAAAGTTTCGGCTGCTCTGGCGAGGAGGAAGTGCTGCAGCCCAGATCCGGAAAGAGGAATTGAAATAGGGCCGGGGTGGAAGCCCACCTGGCCTTCGCCGGAGTCCCCTAACCATCAACTCTTCCAAAATAGGAAGCTAAGGAGCTGGCGGGGCGGCCACGGGCCCACCTGCCACTCCCTGGGCGAGATCAGCACCCTCATCGCCCTCAGTGCTCCAGCACAAGCATGAAATGGACACATCCCCCGGGAGCCAGCGGGCCGCTCCCACCGGGGGCCCCCTCCTCGCCAGGCCAGCGCGATCCACCCTCGGAGGGGCGTTCAAAGGGGACTCTCCGCTTCCCCCGGCGGCCCCCCGCGCCTGCCCCAGGGGAAGCCACGGCCGCCAGGTGTCGCGGGCTATTTCTGGGTGTGGAGGGGGAGGGGAACGAGAAGAGGGACAGGGAACTGGGGCGCGGGGGTCGGGGAGTCCGGGAGCGGGTCTTCGCAGCCGCCATCTGTTAAAAGAGGCTTCCGCTACTTGAAACCTGTCCTCCCTTAGTCATTAAAGTCTGGGCCGGACTGAGGACGGGCCAATTCATCCTTCGTGGGGTCCTCCACCTCCGGGCTCCAGCAGGGAACCAGGTACCGGAGGCGGCGCGGAGAGGGTAGCCAACCACCCGGGAGGTCCCGAGGAAGGCTGCACCGGCTGGAGAAAGGGCTGGGAGAGGTGCGGCCCGCAGCCCGGGGGACAGCGAGGGGTCTGGGGAAAGGGGGCTGCTGGCACCGAGCGTGGCGTGGCGGGGTGGGGAGGGGCGCACCCCAGCTCCCGGGATGCCGAGGTGAGGAGGGGGTGGGGTGGGACTCCCATCCTAATTAGGGTGCCCCCAGGGACGCTCACTCGGCGTAGCCCGTGCTCCAGGGCAGGCGACGGCCGGTGTCCGGGGGACTTTGCACAGCCCGGCCGGCGTGGTCGTCGGCGCGACGCAGCCCCCCCGGGCTCAGCTGCAGAAAGGTCGGTCGGGAGAAGCTCGCTCGAGCCTCCGCTGTCTTTGGGGGCGCCGCGCTCCCGCTCCCCGCCTTCGCCGGGGGGCTCCTGGGCGCTTCTGCAGGGGCGGCGGGCAGCAGCGAGGTCGCTTCGGGCTGGTCCGGAGACTTGGGGCCCGGGGGCGGGGCGCCCCCCGAGCTCACCAGGTGCGCCACGGCGGAGCGCACCCGGCTTAGCATGCTGCCGCCCGGCCCCGCCCTCGGCCGTGGCCCCGCCCCATGGGGCTCGCGGGGGCGGCGCTCGTTCCCGGAACCGCCTCACCCGCTCCCCGCGCTGCCCTCCGGGTTCCGCCTGCGCCCCGCCTCCGTGGCTTTGGGGAAGGACCCGGCCGCAGTGGCGAGGAGGGGACTGGGAGAGGCCGCCCGGTCTCAGCCGCGCTCTGGAGCCGACCCCGGCCGGAACCCCCCCATTGTGACGGCAGCGGGGTGTCTCCTAGCCCGCGGCGCCGCGGGCCGGCCTGCCCGGAGTGTGGCGGGCGGGGCTGGTGAACTCGGAGCGCAGCCAGCCGCTCCGGGGACCACGGGGTGTGAAGCCCTTGGTGTGACAGCGCCTCTGATCGGGGCTGCGGGCGTGAGGGCGAGCGAGCGGGTGCGGGGTGTGCTGCGGGGGTGGTGAGCACGGAGGCTGGAGCCCTCCGTCCTGCACCGAGGAGCTGCAAGTTCCCGGGCTCCGCGAGGACCACCTGGATCTGGGCGCGTGGTGGCCACTCCCACTCCGCTGCCTTTTTCAGGGACCCCTGGCCGCGGCAGTAATGATGGCAACAATAATTACCATATTGAGGACTCACTACTTAGCAGTCCTCTAAAAGTACTTTCCATATACTAGGCCATTGATACCACACACCAACCCTTCAAAATGGGTTTTATTTTATTTTTTAATTTTACTGATGACGCTCCTGTCATTTTTACATGACTTGCCCCAAGAGGTCACACAGCCAATGAAAGATTCACACTCGTGTCAGCCCCGGGACGCCCAAACGATTCTGTCTTAAGAACCAAGCTGGTTTGCGGGGATCAGCAAGCAAGGGTCAAGAGGGAGGTGAGCCCTAACCGGTTTGGCTCAGTGGATGGAGCATCAGCCTGCGGACTCAAGGGTCCCAGGTTCTATTCCAGTCAAGGGCATGTACCTGGGTTTCGGGCATATCCCCAGTAGGGAGTATGCAGGAGGCCGCTGATCGATGTTTCTCTCTCATCGATGTTTCTGGCTCTCTATCCCTCTCCCTTCCTCTCTGTAAAAAAAAAAATCAAAAAAAAATCAATAAAATATATATTAAAAAAAAATAGAGGGAGGTGAATGGTTATCGGGAAGAGGGGAGGTGTTCCTCCTCTTAAGGCAGTGGCTGAGAGCGGTCCGGGGATGTTGAACAAGTTCTGTACCTGCCATCAGGGGGAGACAGAGGCCAGGCTAACCTTCCTGCCTGGGAAGCGGGACAGTGGTATCCGGCAGTTGATCACTAGGCCTCCAGGGACACATACCACCCCGCCCATGGTCCAAATGGAGACAAGGCCCTTGTGGCCCCACTGCAAGTCAGGGGTAGCCCTCAGGGGCCACTAGCACCCAGGTCACAGTTGGGACTCCACCTCCAGGCTTTGTGGGAAGTGTGCTTCCTGACCACAATCCTCTCTGTTCAGGGGCTAAACTGTGCCCCCCAGAAGAGTAGCTTTCAAATAAAAATCTCATCATTGGTCATTCAGGTTTTTAGACTTTCTGTAATCATGCCTGCACTCAGTCCAGAGAGAGCCAAAGAAAAAGAAGTCACAAGAAGAAGAAGAAGAAGAAGAAGAAGAAGAAGAAGAAGAAGAAGAAGAAAAAAATCAGTCTTTAGGCACAGAGAGTGGCGCAGGCAGCGATGTGGATAAAGAACATGCTACCGCTATTGGGCATTTCCTTCCTGTTTGAGGAAAAAGTGGAACCAACGCTCAGATCAACGGCATAAGCAGCAAGCCAAAGGCTGAAGAAAAAAATATAACAGCCTGGCTATTTTTATTATTCAGTGTTTCTGGGGCAGTTTGCTTACCACTTCTCTGTGTCACCCAGCTCCCCAATCCCTGTGCTTTGCAGCACCCAGCAGGGTGTGGCTGCAAGTGGGCCACAGAGCCAGGGCCCAGGGAGCCCTAGTTCCAGCACCAGATGGTCAGCAGGGATGTCAACAGCTCTCCTGGGCTCCAGAACAGCCTGCTGACCATAGCCAAGTCCTCAGCTCTCTACTCCCTGAATCTCTCACTTCCTGGTCTTGGCATCATCAGCCTCGTCCTCCTCAGACTGCCCCAGAACCTGGTGAGAAGGCCATCACCTCTACTCCTCCCTGAGGCAGCAGAGAGTGAGAAGGAAAAGGAGAGTGTGTGTGTGTGTGTGGGGGGGGGGGGGGGGGGGTGGAGGGGTGAAGAAGCAGACTCGTGAGATATTCTCTTCAGCTAAGAAATGAGACTCAGTGTCAGGCCTCAGCTAGGGCAGGGGCTGGGCATCCTTAAGGCCCCTTTACCCAGGCTACATGCAGTGGCTCGGAGTTCAAAATTGAGCTTTTCCCCCTTGCCTTTCCCCTCTCCATTTCCCTGACCCCAAAGCCCTCCTAACCTAAGAGGGTTGTCCCTTCTCCTAAGAGACAAAAATCACAGACTCCCAGCTTCTCCCATTTGTCTACCTCCAAAATCTTACCCTGCAGAGATTAGAACATTGCAATGATGTCGCAATTTTTATGATGAAGAAACTGGGTCTCAAGAGTTTGGTTCCCGAGTTGGCGTTCACATCCCTCATTCTGTGCAATGGTGAGAATGTTCTCTACCTTTTGTGCCCAATACAGGAGTCCCTAGCTACAAGTGGCTATTGAGCACTCGAAATGTGGTGACTGCCCATGAGAATCTCAATTTTTAAATTTTATTTGATTTCTATTTCTATTTAAATAGAGTTTTATTGACTTCAGAGAGGAAGGGAGAGAGAGAAACATCAATGATGAGAATCATAGATTGGCTGCCTCCTGCACACCCCCTTACTGGAGATTGAGCCTGCAACCTGGGCAGGTGCTCTGACCCGGAATCCAACCGGTTCATACGTGGAGGCTCAATCACTGAGCCACACCAGCTGCGCTGATTTCTATTTACATTTTAAAACTACATAACAGTTAGTGGCCACAGTATTAGACAATACAGTCACAGAATCTTCAGGGCTCTAAAGCCCCGAGGGTCTGCGCAATCACACTCCGCGCCCCCACCCCGGGAAGCCGCAATCCCTGGGATTTTGGAGGAACCGCTCTGAGTGACCCCAGCCTGCAGAGGGTTGCTCACCCTGATCCAACCACTGAAATGGGAGATCCTCTCGTCCCTCGTCCTGCCAGGGCCGCCAGGGGCCGCTGCGCCCGCCGCCCGCCGGACCCGGCGCTGTGCGCGGCGATCCGCGCTGCCCCGGAGGAGGCGGCGGCCCCCGGCGCGGAGGACGCGGCGCGGCGACTGCACGCTCCCGGGCCTGCGGGCCGGAACCTCGGAGGGACCCTGGCTGAGCTCCCCCGAGCTGGCCGAGCGGGCCGAGCTCCCCCAGTGCGCAGAGAGGGGCCGACATGGCGGTGCTGCCAGTTGGGTCGGAGCCCGGCCGCCTTGGGGACGCAGCCACTTGGTGAGGGTCACAGGGCTCCGGACCAGACAGCACCCGAGCCGGCCGCTGGCACCGCCGTGGGACAGGTAGGCGGGTCCCAGGGACGGGGCTCGGAATTTGGCGGACTGAGTGGGCGCGGGGACCGGGAGGAGGGGGAGGTAGGGGAAGGTTAAAGGTCTGTGGTTCCCATCGTCAACCCCCTGCTGGCACGCTGGCCGCTAACTCTGCCTCGCCATAGCCTGGCTGGGGAGCGGGGGCGGGGGGCGGGTTGGGAAACTGAGGCAGGAGTGTGGAAGCCCGAGAGCAAATCCCAGAAGCGGCTTTCTCCAGCTCTCTCTGAAGGAGAGAACAGAATGCTGGGACACCCAGCCTAAATGCCATCCCCCCCCCCCCACACACACACACAAACACGCACACGTCTTTTGGGTCTTGGGGTTCATGGGAGAGAGAGGACAGTTGGGTTGGCGAGTGTGGCAGCTCAGAGAGAAATGGGATGCGGACTCCCTGGGAGAAGAGGAAGCTGCATTTGTAATGATGAAAGGGAAGGTTCTTGATGGGGCCGGGATAGGAGGTGCGCCCTCAGAGGAGAGGTCCCTCTAGAAGGTGGGGCGCCCTCTGCCCACAGAGCACCCGTTCCCCAGGGTCTCAGCACCACCGCGCCCTCTGCCCCATGGGTCTTCTCTGGGCTCTCACTCTGGGGACCCAGGACACAGAGGTGTGCGTTCTTCCCGGCCGCATCCTCCTGCCTGCCTCTGTCCACCTCCCTTTGGAGGCTGGGGGAGGCGAGGTCTTAGGAAGAAACGGAGAAGCTGTTGGGGCTGGAGCCTCTGAGGCTCAGAGAGCTGGAGGACCCCGTCTCGCCCCCTGGAACGGGAATGGGAGTGAGGGTGTCAGAGCTGAGCCATCTCCGGTGAGTCCAGGAAGCAGGTGTGAGGGGGTCGGAGGTGGAAGCAAAGAGGAGTCGGGACCTTGGGGTCTGTCCCATGTGCCCCTTTGAGCAGCATCCTATTGGATTCTGCTCCCTCCCAAGGCCAGACAGGTGACAGCATTGGTTCTTAGACGCCTCCTACCATCAGCCCAGCTTCCCCCCTGGACAGAGAAACTCCTTCAGCTACTCTTCTGAGGCTCAGCACCCTACATGTTCCCACAGCCTGCAAGGGCCCCTGCAAATTCCCAGGGCACAGGGGAGACTGGCATCTTGGGTCTGCTTCAGTGCTCAGCCCACCCCCTTTCACCCTCAGAAAGGGCCAGTGGCTCCCTCGGTCCCTTGCAGCCCCTGAAGCATCTTTCCTACTCGTCCAGGTAGAGTGAGCCTGAGGCCAGTGGATGAACAGACAGAAGCTGAAAGTGCCCAATAAAGGTGAGTTAGGAGGTCATTGAAGGTGGGGGATGGGGTGTAGGGAGACCCAGCACCCTACCAAGGGAGCAGCCAGGTCCTGGCATTGGGTTTGGCCTCTGTTGTTCCCGGCTCTGTGCTTCTGCTTCCCTGGGATTCTCTCCATTTCTAGCCCATCTTCTGGGGTGGATTTGGGAGGCCCGAACCATTGAGGATGGAGGAGGAGAAGGAAAGGGGAGGGGAGCAGAAGCAAGGGGGTGCAGTGGGAATGGGGCAGGCTTCTGGGCTCCCCGGCTGTGCCACCCACACGCTGCCTGGCCTTGGGCAGGTCATTTGACTTCTATTAACCTCCGTTTCATTTCTTCCTTTTTAAATTTAAATTTGTTTAAGTTGAATTGCTAGGTTCAAAACCCAACATGTAACAGGGACAGGGACAAAAATAAGTCTCTCTCTACCTTTCTATCTCCCAGCCAACTAGTTCCCCTTCTTGGTGACAACCAATGTTATCAGGTTGTTTTGAACGTTTTCAGAGCTAGCTTATGCCTATTTGAACCACACATATACTCCCTCCCTTTTACACATTTTGTACACACCGTCCTGCACTTTGCTCCCCCGCCCCCGCTTAATGGTGGATTATCGTTAGAGATCTTTGCCTGCCTGGCACATAAAGTGTTTACCCATTCTTTCTCACAGCTGCCTGGACGGGACTGCATTTGTACAATGCTCCCCGAACCATTTAGCCAGTCCTTGATTGATGACTGTTTAGTGTGTATCTGGGCTTCTTGAGTATCAGTTTGCTCATCTGTAAAATAGGTACAAGTAATTCGACTTTGTAGGACAGCTGTGGAGGATTCAAGACCCTGTTTGGGACGTGCCTGGGTCAAGTGCTCCAAAACTGGGAGTCAGCATTATTGTTCCTCCCATGTCACAGCCCTCCCTGGGACCCTGTCTGGTTCACCCTTCAAGACCCCTCCTAACTGTCACCCCCACAAAGTGTTCCAGCAGGACAGTCTCCCTTGCTGCTCCCTTTTCCGCTAGGAAAGCACTCCCTACTTTCTACAGTGAGTTTGTGCCAGGCTGGGCGATGCCTGGGGACGAGGTGTGCACCCTACCCACCTCCTAGTGCACATGTGAGAGGCGCTGGGGCTGGGGTTGCTTGTGCCTGGAGTCGGAGCAAGGTGTGCGCTTCTCTCTGCAGGATGCGTGAGGGGGCCGCGCGGAACTGGAGCACGGGCGGCTGGCTGCTTGCACTCTGCCTGGTCTGGCTGTGGACCCTCCTGGCCTCGGCTTCCTTGCAGCCTCCAACTCCCACAGGTTTGGGGGAGGTGGTGGGACTGGGGAGAGGTTTCCCAGGATACTGGAGAGCTGGACACCACCCCACCCCGTTCTACAGCAGGCAGATCTCCTCTGAGGCTGAGTAAAGCCCACAGATTCTAGGGGTTATGGCTCCTCCTCTGTTCTTCACCCAAGAAACCGCCCCTCCCCCCCCCCTTCTGCTGTCCTGCCCGGAAAACGTAGGCAGCGCCATTCTCACCTTCCCCTTCAGGCCAGAAGGTGTTCTGCAGGGAGAGAGGCCCCCCGGTGGGGGCTTAAGTCTAGCCTCCTGGCCTAATTCTGTGGTTTTCCTTCTGGGATGGTAAAGCCTGTGTAAGCAGATGATCCTTCCCACGCATTGTAAGCCCCAGGCCCTTGCCCTCCTGCAGGAAGCCGGGAGGTGTGGGTTGGCGTGGGACTTCATCTTCTGCCCAAGGCCATGAGTGGGATGAGTGTGGCCTCACTAGGGAAGCAGGAAGGACAGGAGCACGGAGGCAGCAGGGAGGTTTCCTCCATTTCCCCCTCCCCTGAGCTGGGAGGAGGGGGTGGAGGAGTGCCCAGGTGTGGGTGGGGAGAGCAGGGTCACAGGCCTGAGCTGGCCCCCTGATCCTCTGCTGGTCCCTCCAGTCCCCGTGAAGCAGGGCACCTGCGAGGTGACGGCCTCTCACCGCTGCTGCAACCGGAACCGCATCGAGGAGCGCTCCCAGACCGTCAAGTGCTCCTGCTCCTCCGGCCAGGTGGCTGGCACCACGCGGGCAAAGCCCTCCTGCGTGGACGGTGAGTGGGAGGCCGGACTGGCGGGAGGGCCTGATGGGAGAGATAAGAAGGTCTGTCTTTTCGGCCTCGCCATCTGCTGGGGATACAATTTCCTACTCATCTCAGGGTTTCCATGTCAGCTCTCAGATGATGGGGCAACCTCCGGGGGTGGGCAGACGTGACCATCCCATTTCATAGATGAGAAACCTCCCTCCGGCTGGCACCCACTGCCTGGCACCCACTGCCTGGCACACACAGACGCGCCCCCTCACATGGATCCTCTCACCTCCTGTTAGACTCGTCGCCTCACGCTCACTCCTGCATTCCTGGCCTCCTTCCCAGGCCTCCTCCACATGGACCTCTGCCCCCTCTCACATGGGCACGTGGGAGTCCCCCGTCTGCACAGCCCTTCACTCCTGGCCTATTCCCTTCCCCAGGCCCCACCCATGCTCATTTTCTCACACTCCAGTGGCAGCACTATAAACATGCCCACCTGCTTGTGCACGCCTGCTGTGTGGACCCCTCTGAACGGCTCGCACACTTGCTCACATACACCAAGGGGCGTGTTGGGACTGAGCCTCTCTGCTAATGGTCTGGTGGCTCAGCCTGAGGGTTTTTCTTCGACACGCGCCCCCTGCCTTCTCCCCACACTGTCTTTGGTGAGATGCTGGGGTCAGTGGGTTGAGGTTGACACGGTTGTGTGCCCGGGCCTTTCTGGGCAGCCCGAGTAGGGGAAAGACAGGAAACTGCAGGGCTCAAGCCAGGGGTGTGTGCAGGTGGGCACGTCATCCCACACAGACCCTCCCCCGCCCTCACCACACGCTGTACTTCCAGAGAGCTTAGCGCTGCCCCCATTGCTCTGCTCCCACAGCCTCCATCGTCCTGCAGAGGTGGTGGTGCCAGATGGAGCCCTGCCTGCCCGGGGAGGAGTGCAAGGTGCTGCCGGACCTGTCGGGGTGGAGCTGTAGCCGGGGACACAAGGTCAAAACCACCAAGGTACCCACCCGTGGATGCTTCACCCCCTCCTGCTCCCCTTCCACCTGGGACGGAAAAGGGGGCGCAGGAGCCCTGGGAGATGTCGGTGTCCTAAGGAGGGACCTGCAAACCATGTGGGCACAGCCCCAGACAGTCCCCCAAGTAGGTCTGTCTTGACTCTGGGGTCTGGAGCCAGGGCCCCTGTCCTTCTGAGCAAACTTCCTGATGCGTCATCTGCCTTGGTTGCCTCCTCTGCCTGGAGCGAGTTTGCCACCTGGAAAACGGCAGGTCCGCAGGAACAAAGCAGAGAGTTGAGGCAGTTATCTAGATAATTCTGAGGGGACGTTGCTGTAGCCACTCTGCCCGGCCACCCCTGCCGCAGACCCCGCCGCACACTCCCAGGATTCCCAGCTCCCCATGGCTCACACCTGCCTTCCTCTAGCCCAGCGGTTCTCAACCTGTGGGTCGCGACCCCTTTGGCGGTCGAACGACCCTTTCACAGGGGTCGCCTAAGACCATCTGCATATCAGATATTTACATGACGATTCATCACAGTAGCAACATGACAGTTATGAAGTAGCAACGAAAATAATTTTATGGTTGGGGTCACAACATGAGGAATTGTATTTAAAGGGCCAGAAGGTTGAGAACCACTGCTAGCCTAATTGCCTTTCGGGGCTGTGACCCGGGAGAATTCATGGTTCACAGAGCAAGCGGTAATGAAGATGTTATCAGACTCGTGAGCAAGTCCATGTGGGTCACGGTTAACCAGTCCGTAGCTCTGTCATCGCCATTTGTACAAATGATGGTACCATGGGGCAAGCCAGAACTCTGCTTCTGCCTTCCCTGGTCACTTCCACACACAGCAAACAAACAAACAAACAAACACACACACAGGAGGGAAGGCTACCTTCAGGGTTCCGAATGAGCAACATTTTCAGAGCACAGAACAGGGGGAGCTACAGCCTCCATATAAAGAAGAGCTTCCTGCCGAAACCGCTTTGGCTCAGTGGATAGAGCGTCGGCCTGCGGACTGAGAGGTCCCAGGTTCGATTCCGGTCAAGGGCATGTACCTGGGTTGCGGGCACATCCCCAGTGGGAGATGTGCAGGAGGCAGCTGATCGATGTTTCTCTCTCATCGATATTTCTAACTCTCTATCTCTCTCCCTTCCTCTCTGTAAAAAATCAATAAAATATATTAAAAAAAAAAAGAAGAGCTTCCTATCTGCAGGCAGGCAAGGAGACAGCCATTCTGAGAATATTCAAGACCAGAAGAGAGGGAGGCCTCCCCACAGAGCTGGTAACATTGTCACTTTATCTTTTTTTAAATCCTCACCCAAGGATATGTTTTTTTTAATTGATTTTAGAGAGAGAAGAAGGAAGAGAGAGAGAAAAAAAACATCGATGTGAGAAAGAAGCCTCGATCGGTTGCCTCCCATCCACATCTTCCCTGGGGATGGAACCCACCAGCTGGGTCTGTGCCCTGACTGGGAATTGACCTCTCAACCTTTTTTGGTGTGTGGGACAATGCTCCAACCAACGAAGCCACCAGGCCCAGCCTGTCACTTCCTAAGGTTGGGTTTGTAGGGCTGCAGATCTCTGTGCCTGCAATTTCGGTAACTAATCGGAAGCACCCTGTGTGGTGAGAGGAGCCTGACTTATGTTTGCACGGGCCACCCTGCCACGCTTTCCCAGGCTGGGAAGGGGCGGCAGCAATGACCCGCATGACCTGCATGATCCTGGGAGTGTCCGTTCCCTTCCCTAACCTTCTACCCTCACTTGCTCTCTAGGTGACACGGTAGTTCTTGGGGTCATGGCCTCGGCAGAACAGCTTGACTGAGCCGTGGACGGAAGCGTGGTATCCAGTTATCAGCCGGCAAGTCTGGAGGTTCGCTTACCTGGACACAGGCCCCAGGTCAAAGGCAGCATCCCCTTTCCCAGGGGTGTTTCAGTTGAGCTGCTCAGCGGATATGGACAGACCTCCAGCCACAGACCTAGTGTTGTGCTGGGCTCTCCTGGGGGATACAGCAGAAGGTCACGATACAATACCTGCCCTCAAGGAGCGTCCAGTCAAGTCGGAGAATTGACAAAAGACGCTTTAGATCATAAGCATGTGGTACCAGACTGTGGCTTCTGGGCCATAGGCTGTGGGCATGTTGGGGGTGTGGGGCTGAGACTCCCACAGCTCTGCAGCCACTCCCCGGTCACCGGGCACAAAGACAAGAGGTCACATTGACCACCCTTCTCTCCCTCACATGGGTCCAAATCCCCAGTGAACTGCTAACGTGTTGAAGGAAGACATGTGTCCCTCTGCAGACTGGCTGCACAGCCTTTGCCTGGGACTGGCTTGACTTGCAGAAGGGACGCAGAGATGAAGCCAAACTTTCCAGCGGAGCTTCTGCAGACGTGGGGCCCGGTTTGGGCTGTTCGTTGTTGGGCTAGGGATGGACCGGACCTTCAAATCACCGCCACCCAAACACCTCGAGTTTTTGCTTGTTTGAGCAGGTGAGGAAACAGTCCCAGAGAGGTGAAGTGACTTGCCCAAGGTCTCACAGCTTGGGCCTCCAACTCTGACTACTGACCTTTTCACTTGGCCTGGATGTGGGATTGCCATCGGCCTTCCATGTTGCTTTTTTTTTTTTTTTTCAGAGAGTAAGGGAGAGAGAGAAACATCAATGATGGGAGAGAATCATTGATCAGCTGCCTCCTGCACATCTACTGGGGATTGAGCCCACAGCCAGGCATGTGTCCTTTACGGGAATTGAACCTGGGACCATTCAGCCCTCAGGTCGACGCTCTATCCACTGAGCCAAGCCGGCTAGGGCCCATGTTGCTTTCATCTCTGGAAGAGGAACCTTCAAACACCTGGCTGGACAGCAGCAACATTTCTCTTGGGAGATTCTACAGCAGGAATTTTTTTTACCAAGGTCACTGCTCTCCTCCCTGAAATGATCCGGATTGCTGACACACCTGGATGTGGGGGCACTGGATCTCCACTCTGCCCTCGGGCCCCATGACAGCCCAGAGTCACCGAGCCCAGTTACAGCTGCGGCACTGAGCTGGCAGCCCTGCTGCCCACTCTGACCCATCTCTTCCAGAATCCTTAGGCTGTACCTCTCGGGCGCTAAGAGAGGGTCTGGGTGGGGTCCAGGCTGGTCAGCCCTTCAAAGGTCCTGCTGGGCTGGGTGGAACCTCTGCCCAGGGTTCCCAGGTAGACACACAGGCTTCAGGGACTGAGAGCCAGGCGACTTGGGTAGCTCATAGTAAGAGAATTCCAGCCTCAGTGACTGCTGGGCTCAGCTGGGATGGCTGGGATGCAGAGTGTGGGGGGCCTGGAGAGGAGGGGTGTCAGTACCAGCGGAGAGGGGTGGACAGTGCTGAATTCTGACCCTCAGGCGATGGGTTGGGCTTGAGGCTCAGTCCCTGCCTACTTCCCTCCCTCCCTCCCACCCACCTTGTGCAGTAGGACTAAGACTGGGATGAACAATGATACCAGCTTCTCACTAGACTGTAAATATCAGAATTCTGACGACTGAAGCGACTGAAGCTCTGCACACAGTCGTCCCGGGGCGAGGTGGTCAGGGTAGGTCAAAGGTCATCACCTTCAAGGCTGGGGAGTGGATCAGGGTTAGCAAACTTTCTGGAAAGGCCCAGGTGATAACTATTTTAGGCTTCACAGGCCACAAAAAGTCTCTTCGGTATATTTTCCTTTGCTGTTTCTCTAGTTTATTTGTTTTGTTTTTTAAAAAAGAACTTTTTAAAATGTAAAAACTATTCTTAGCTTGAGTGCTGTGCAGAACCAGGCCCCAAGCTGTTTTTGGAAGGTTGCCAGCCCCAGTGGACCTGTGCAGGCGGCCAGCTCTCATCTCCGCAGCCTAGGTCTTCTGCCCAGCATCCTGGCCTGCCTCCGGTGCAGCCGCAACCTGAGCAGCAGGTCTGGGTCGGGTTTTGTTTTCCTTCTAATGCTCCCTGAGAGGTCGGGGAGTGAATTATTTAGGCTACAAATGAGACAGCTTTAGCAGAGTCAGACAGGAAGAGCCTGCCCTCCCGGAGGCCAGGGTATGGGCTTCTCCACGCCCCACCCCTGAGACTGTGCCTGGGCGGGAGGGAGCGGGCTCCGGCCCTGTGCCCATCTGCTATGCCCACAAGCTGCTGGGCTTTGAGCTAACGGGAAGCCCCATCCCAGTCCTTCTGCATCTCCACCCGCCCCCCACCCCCCGCCCCAGGCCTCCTGCAAATGACACAGGTTTCATTAATGTGGGGTAGGGACTGGCGGGGGGGAGAGGGGGGGTGGCGTTGAACTTCACTGGTGACATTTACCAAAGTCATGAACTCAGTGAACATTGTAATTTGCTGATTAAAATTTTAATGCTTGTCTTAAGGTCAGAAAACACCAGAGAATGTCAAACACTGGATGCAGAGAAGTTGACAGAAATAGGAGAGTTGGGGAGTGGCAAGCCAGGGCTGCTGTAGCTGAGGGGAGTGGTCAGGCTGCCTGGGGATGGGACACGTGCTCCTGAGGGAGCTGAGTGGGGACACCCCCAGCCTGTTCCAGGTGTGGGGAGGTAGGAAGAGCTTGGACTTCAGAGGGAGGCTGGCCTGGGCTAGCATCTCGCAGTGTGACCTGGGGCACAAGGACCCTGCCTGGTACAGAATTAGTGTCATGGATTGAGAGCAAAGTGTGTAACCTCTTCCTGCGCAGCAGGCACGCAGGAAGCAGCTATTGCTGTGGCGTATCTGTGATTGGTGGGCTGAGTGGGGGCACAGACCTGTATGTGAGGGTTTGGAGCAGAATCTGTGTCGTGGCTGAGGGGTGGGGAAGTGCCTAGGGTGGGAGGGTGAGCGTGGGGCGCGCGGCTGTGTATTGCTGGAGCTATGAGCGTCTGGGAGGCCATGACCTCTCTGTAGGTGAGGTTGTCCGCAGGCTCCATCCTTCTTGTAGAGGCCTCCAGACAAGCACGGGAGGAAACCAGAGGGGCCTCCGCCAGGGTCGTCTGGGACGGGGCACCCCTTCCTCTGCAGTAGCAGTAGCTTGCAGGCCCTGACTCCGTATTCCAGACATTGCTTCCGTGCCTTCTGTCCCTGGTGACTCGTTAAAAGACTTCAAAGGAGAAACTTCAGACTGGAGACCTCGCTTGCCATCCACATTTTTTAACATTGAAGATATAACCGTACAGAACATGTCTGTGAATGGTAATTAGCCCCTTGAGAGGCAGAACAAAGAGGAGAGAAGAGAGAGACAGTGAGCGGGAGAGGGCCATTGAAATGCTGCCTGGATAGCAAGGGGAAGGGCGCTACGCCGGGAATTCTGCAAAATAACCTCAAGGATACACAGGCCTCATGAAGGTGATAAAGTAAAAAGGACAGGACCTGATCCCAGAGAGGAATAAGTAGGGAGAGAGAGGGAGCTGGTGTGGGAATTTTCCTTCTCGGAGGCAAATGAAGTGGCTGGGCTGCCCCCTGCACAGGGTCAGCAGAGACCAAGATGGGGTACAATAGGCACCGGAAGTATGGGGTGTGGCCCGAGTCTGGTGGTGCAGGCTCCCACCCCTAATCTTTCTTCCTTGCAAGCACTAACCCCAGCCACTTACATCTGAATTCCTATTTTAATAAGAAGCACAAAAATGCATCTTTATTCAGCACCAGGTATATTTGTAAATACTGCCTTATTTCATTCTAACAAGATCCATATGAAGTAAATACTTAGGAAATATCTCCGCTTTATAGATAAGGAGATTGGACGTCAAAAGTCATATCCGGATCTATCTCCTGACAGTGGATCAAGCTGCTTCTATGCCTTGGGTATTGCAAGTTTAGTTTGTTGTTTTTGAATGATTTCAATTTTCCTTTCCCTCCTGATCACCATGTAAATACATGCTTACTGAAGGGCATTTTAAATATACAGTTACAGAGAAGAATATAAAAATAATGTCTAATTTGTAGTGATCTCTCTTTATATTTTCTTCATGGCTTTGATAATTATTGTAGCTAATGAGATGCCCTCTTAGGAATTCTTTCAACTCTAAGAAACAGATAGCGTGGCTACCAACACGGAGAAAAGAGGTGGTTAAAAAATAGGTTTATTTTTCTTGTCTATCAGGATCTCTGGAAGTAGGCCGGTGCCTCTGTTAATTTAGGTCCAGCAATGGATTGACACCTTGAAATGCTCTTAGCTTTTGCCTCATGGTTACAAAATGGCCGCTGCAGCTCCGGAAATCACAGCCAGGTTCCAGGCAGTGAGAAGAGAACACGCTTTCCCAGAGGCTCCTGCCAGACTTTGGTTTGCAACCCCTGGGCCATAACTGAGTCACAAAGCAACTCGTACCTTTAAGGGAGGCTAGGAAAAAAAAAAAAAAGTGCTTCTCCACACTCTCTAATTGAAGTGGATTCGGGCCCCAGAGAAGAACTAAAACGCAAGCCTCTTTTCCAGGGTGGGGCATTCATGCTTCCTTTGGTTTCAGAGGCTTGGATGAGGCAGAAAGATACAGCTTCGGCCCTGTGAAACAGCCCTCTGAAATTTGCACACCAACCCTCTTCCGGGAGGAGAGCCATTAGATTCACGCGAGCCTCGCTCTGGACACCCCCATCGGCAGGGCCTCCTTAATGGCATGCACACCGGGTGCATCCTGTTCCAGACCTGTGGGTCCCAGGGCTGCCCTGCGACTCGAGGCTTTGCCTCACTCTCCCTCCACCTTGCCCGGGTTTGATGCTGCCTCCTCCCTGGTCCTGAAGGGCACTAGGAAGTCACACCTGCCCGTCACATGCGTTGTCTGTCCAGTGCTAGGCTTCCCTTCTCCTGGGATTGCCATTGCCTGAGTGCTGCTTCCCCTCCACTCCCAGCCTCCTGCTTTGGGGAGAGCTGCCCGGCTCCTGCAGAACCACACGGGCCCAGCCAGATGTGACTGGTCCAGAGGCCAGCATCCCCTGCCTGTCATACACTGGAATTGGCTCATGATGGACAAGTAATAGCTGATGTTTACTGAGCACTGTTCTAAGCATTTTAGTGATATTGACTTCATCCTTCCCCCAATCGGATGGATTATACACTGTTACGAGTCTAAGTTGCAGATGAAGTTTCAGCGACATGTTCAAGTTTACTCAGCCAGAAAGCAGCAGAACCAGGATTCAAACCAAGGTAATCTGGGGTCCCCTCCGCACCCCCTCCTCTTATCAAGTTTCAAACAGGCACAAAGGCAGGCAGAAGAGCATAATGAATAATGAATTCCCACACACTCATCACCTAGATTTAATAGCTGTTAACATTTTGCCACAATTGCTGCACCTTTTTTTTTTTTTTTTTTTTTTTGGTAAAATCTCGAATAGATAAGGACTTTAAAAAATAACATTGCCAGCCCTAGCTGGTTTGGCTCAGTGGATGGAGCTTCAGCCTGCGGACTGAAGGGTCCGGGCTTGATTCTGGCCAAGGGCACATGCCCAGGTTGCAGGCTCCATCCCCAGTGGGGGGTGTGCAGGAGGCAGCCGATCAATGATTCTCTCTCATCACTGATGTTTCTATCTCTCTCTCCCTCTCCCTTCTCTCTGAAATCAGTAAAGAAATCTATTTTAAAAAAATAACATTGCCAGTAGCATAATCGCACTCAACTAAATTAACAGTAATTTCTCCATAGCGTCCACTGCTCAGTCCATGTTCAATTTGTTCTGATTGTATAAAACATGTCTTTTTACAGTTCTCTTACGCAAATGAGGATCCCAAGTTTACAT